GCTAAGAAAGATAGTAATGTAAAAAACACAGAAAAGGCTAAAAATAATATCAATAATATAATTTAGACATTATTATTATTAATTTAATATTACGATTTATTATTTAATTTGTTAAACAATAAACAATAATAATGAACAATATGAATAAATGTCAATTTGTTATGTAGTTATGAAAATAATTACAAAATTATCTGTGAATCAAAATTCTTAATTGCAATTGTTTTTCATAGAATAGAATAGAATAGAATATTTATTCACTTCAGCGTATACAATTGTTTTTCATAGTTATTTATCACATTTGACATTACCAACGAAAGAAAAATATATTCGAATATGGAAGAAGAGGGAAGAACGCGATAGGGATAACCGTGGTGTTTGAAATACTCTCATTTTACTATATTGAAAATATACTTATTGTATTCAATAATCGTTAATATTCGTATTATATGCGATTAGAAGTTTCCTTTTTAACTGTATCTTTCAGCTGATTTGTATCAAGTACGTTAGAAATTTTGACCGGATTTGCACGCCTATTGGGATTATAGGTTATATTGTGTTTATGAACTCATCTTGGCAATAAGGTATCTATATTTGTCTGCTATTGTCGTAAAAAAAAAAAAAACAAAACGATTCTCCTTTCATTGCAACTACGATTTTGCAGATATCTAAGTGTTAGTAAAAACTCGTCCAACGAGTTTCGCATTTATTTGTAAATATTGCTGATTCTGTATTTTTGACAGAATGGAGTCGAGAACCGAATTTAAAATAAAGTCACCACCAACGGACGCAATTTCTGCGGTTGAATTTGGACCAAACTCCACACAGTTCCTATTAGTATCATCATGGGACAGTACAGTGAGATTGTACGACATACATGCTAATACAATGAGATTAAAGTATAATCACGATTTACCAGTATTGGACGTTGCATTTCAGGTAACTAAAGCCGCTAATTTCTCTTGTTTTGTTCAATTGTACAATTGAAGGGATAGGAGGGATAAAGGCACAATTCTACTTAGGTCCTTTTTTCGACAATTAGCTTTTTCATGTAATATTAGTCATAATAGAGAAGTATTGTAATATGTAACTTCTTAAAGACATTACATAAATTCATTTGATATTACCCATTTGTGTATAATAAAAAAGTAGCAAATTATTTTAATTTTTATTAATATTAAGATTTTGTAATTAGGCCTTTATTCTGTCCATCCCCTTAATTATCTAGAGATAATCTTTAAATCATGCTTTATATGCACAAATTATTTTAATTCCATTTATATTTGTTTCTGTTATATTATAAAGTTAATATACATTGAGTTTTTCTCTTTAATGATACAGAATGACAGAATTGGACCTAAATCTTCAAATAATTGCTCTATTATTGCATTATCTAACATTTTCAAAAGTTTTTTTATTCTGATAATTCCCTGATATTTTTCTTTTTCATCACAAAACTATTTGCAGGATGCTGTTCATGCATATAGCGGTGGATTAGGGAATACTCTGAAGATGTATGACATAAATAGCAATACTGGTACTATTATCTTTTTTAATATTTTTTATTATTTTACTTTATATTTTTATTACAAATATACATTGAAAATATTTGTAGAAACAATAATGGGTACACATGATAAGCCAATTAGAAAAATAGAGTATTGTGCAGCTGTAAATGCAATATTAACTGGTGGTTGGGATGCTGCGGTAAAACTGTGGGATCCTCGATCACCTACCTGCGTTGGTAGTTATTTGCAACCCGATGTGGTCCTTGCCTTATCTGTATGTGGCGACAAATTCGTAGTGGGTACAGCAAAACGAAAAGTTTGCATTTGGGATTTAAGAAACATGGCAGGCATGTTTCAGAGACGAGAAAGTAGTCTAAAATATCAAACGCGATGTATCAAAGGTTTCCCTAACGAACAGGTACGTTCATCCTTTATAAAGTTTGCTATTTATTGCTCACTTCGTTTATTTACTTGTATTGTAGTATACATTCACATTCCTTTATAAATTTTATTTTTTATATATAGGGATATGTATTAAGCAGCATAGAAGGTCGAGTCGCCGTCGAGTATCTTGATACAATGCCAGAAGCTCAGAAAAAGAAATACGCATTCAAGTGTCACAGAATAAAGGAAAATAATGTCGAACATATTTATCCAGTGAATGCTATTAGCTTCCATTCTGCATACAACACGTTTGCCACCGGTGGCTCGGATGGTTACGTAAACATTTGGGATGGTTTTAATAAGAAACGGCTGTGCCAGTTCCATCGATACAATGCTGGTGTGGCCGCACTTAGTTTTAGCCATGATGGTTCCGTTCTTGCGATAGGCGTTTCATATTTAAACGAAGCTGAGATTCCGCCTGGCGGCAGTGATGAGCGAGAAATTTATATAAGATATGTCAATGATCAGGAGACCAAGCCAAAGTAAACAGAAAATTTATAAGATGCTATTACAGTGACAGAAATATGTGATTAGAAAAACTCGTGGGTTTCCATGCATTAAAATAGAAGAACGAACGCGTTCTGTGAATAATTGTAAATATTCTGAATTTGCTAATTTATATGCATTTCATGGAAATAACATGGTGACTTATAATGAGTTCAATAAATTATACGTTTTATAAAAATATTCTGATTTTTAGGAAATAAATCTGATTTATACCTGTATGGGTTCTTTACATATTCTCATATGATGTTATGATACTTTTTTCTAATATTCAACATACTATTTCTCTTCTTACTTTGTTGTATTAAATAAATGATTTGATTACATATCATTTATTGTACAATTATACTACATTTATTTAAAAACAGTTAATTTATGCATGGATTACATATCAAATATTTAAATTTACAACATAGGTTGTATTATACTGTGTGATCTCTTAAAAAGCGAAAGCTTTTTTATTTTTAATTCGATTTAATAAGATTATAGAAATAAAAATACACAATTATACAGGGATATAAGTGAAATAAAAAACTGTACACTGTATAAAATTTATATATTTACTAAATGACTTTACATTATATATAACCAATACAATGATCACAAACAAGCTATAAAATTATTAAGAATAAATAATCTTTTACAATGTAATGTGTGTGTTGTAATTTACAATTTTGAAAATTTTCGAAAACTGATCGCTAGAAAACGTATATGCATTCTATCAAAGAGATAGAATTTATTAATAATTCTGTTTAAATATTAAGTATTGCAAAATATAGAGAAGGTAATGATTTTCTGCATCGACTATAAAACAATATCTTCGACAACATGCGACCACGATTCTCTTTTTTTCTATCACATTTATTTTACATATTTCAACATAAAATATAATACGGCCTTTAAAAATATATACAAGATATGTGAAAATATTTAATTGCAAGATGCTCAAATGTAATTAAAGCAAATATACAAATCTATTTTTTTTACATTAAGGCTCCTAAATAGTTACTCCAGTCATTGAATCGTGACGTCATAAGTGAGAAATGACATGTTGATTTTTCTTGCGTACCATTTTTAAATAAAGAGAATTTAGATAAAATGAAATGATAAGATCGTTTTAAAACCCTTGTAAAAATGGACGAAGATTCCTTATCTCCCCTGATAAGATCAGTAAAGAATCGAAAAAGGTGTGAAATTAAGATAGATAATGCATGCGCATTGAATAAAATCTAGTAAGCGCACTTTATGTTTTTTAACTATTTACTGACTGTCAAGAGAGATAAGGATAGTTTTCATCCATTTTTATAAGTTTTAAAGCGATCTCATCATTTCATTTCATCCAAATTCTCTTTATTTAAATGGTATGCAAGAAAAACCAAAATATCATTTCTTGCTTATGACGTCACAATTCAATATGGCTGGAGTGAGTACTCTCAGGAGCCTTAATCAATTGTAATGTAGATACTGTTGTCAGTAATTAATTATAATATAGATTCATAGCAATATAACGTTATATCTATTTTTTTACGATGTTTCACATTCTAAATTTTATTGTCGCTATCAATTGCAGTCTATTTTAAAGAAAAAGATGTAGATTAGTCATTGCAGCATCAAAATAAATCAATCAATTATACTATAAGCATAATGATCAAATAAAATCTAAATGTCAATTTCAAGTGCAACTTATCTTAAAAACTGTACAATATTTCTATTTTACACAGGCTTTTAAAAAAATCATCGAGAATCATCAATACTCTTGAGTATTTCAATCTTTAAAATAAATGTGTCATATACACGATTTCGAATGAAAATTATATCATTGTTTGTTTACTTTTATTGTAGAACTTGTAAAATATTTAAGGCAAGTCAGAAAAGTCATATTTTTATATAAACTGTTTTAATCATATCTGAAGATATCTAATCTGAAGATATCTAAGATAAGCTAAAAATCGTACCTTTATTTACACATAATATTTATAGTACGATTTGATATATAGATCTACAAGTATTGCATCTCTTCAACTGTTCAACGATTTCTATAATGTTTGGAATAACAATATGTACATAATATTTAACAATTTGTACTAATGATCTCCTGTGTTGACTTTTGGTAAAATACCCTCGTAAAATAACAAACTAATTATTTGTATTGATAATAATGCATCTATTGCAATATTATTTCTTGCCATTGATGACACTTTGTGCACGAATTATCATTTTTTTTCTTTTGTCAAGCGAAAATTTGAGAAAACATACACTGACATATTGATTCATTATGATTCGTGTTAAATGATGAAATTATGATTGTTAATTAATCATAATTTATGATTAATTAATGATTCATAATTACAATTATTACTTATATAATTATATAAATGAAAATTAATAATTATATAAGTGTATTTGGACATAATAGTCAAACAATAATTATAATTAATATAATTAAATATAATTATATTAATTATAATTATTGGTTGGTATTATTCCGTAATAACCCCAAACTTTCAATGTTTATTTCATTAATCTCTTATGTATCTTCACAAATTATTTTCCTCAATGTATCTCGTATTGTATCGTGCGTGGCAAAGCTTATTCCAACAGCAATAGGACCCTTTACCCAATTCATGCTTAAGCCTTTATAAAAAGCCATTATTCCTTCTTCCCTGTAACATGCACAACGATAATTGATCAACATAATTTTGTATAAATATGAAATTGCATTTATTATAAAAAAAATTGCAAATTATTATTAAATGTATTTTATGTGTCAATTTTTATGTATCTGTAAATGAGTGTATTATCAAATATAAATCTAAATTCTTTTCTTTTGTTTCTTGAAATTAAAAAAAATATTTTGTTTTTTTGTTTTTTTTTTATTTTAATATTATAAGTTATTTTAATATTAACTTTACTGACATTCATTTATTCAATATAATTAGATATTTGCTGTACACAATTATTATCTTTAAATGATGCATGAATACTCACGTATAAATTTTCAGGATAGTCGACGTGACCGTGTGATAATGCTGGCCCTTGATCGCTGACGTCTGCATTCTCCGCCGCACAATATCCAGTGGATAGCTGCTTGTCTGACTGACCATTCCAGCGATGCCGCCACAAATGAGCGAGGTCGAGAATCCCGGAATAGTCACCGTGTACACTGTTCATCGACACGTAGCCATCATCGAACATGAAGCACGCAGCACTTCGAAATACACCGTCGGGCTTGTCTCGCGTCGCTATTAAAGTTAGTACCGTCGCAATATCAGGGGAAACAGGGTGCCCCCGACGTGCCCCATCGGTACCCTGCTTTACGATCATATACAACAGCCACTCTCATTCGTATAACCCTCGATTGTCTTTTTTTCGCATATTGTATGTGTATGTGTGTATGTACGTAGGTCATTCGATAAGTCTGATAAATCTTTATGAGTAAATCTTTTTGACGTGACACCTGGAAAATATCATTCTTCAAACTCTTCCAAATTTCAACCAGAATTGATGCGTTGTTCACGTTTGATAGTTGTTTAAAGCGAGCGAGAAATTAAGCAGTTCTAATTGACATTTGATTTAGAAGAGTTTAAAGAGTGATAATTTTTAGGTGTCACGTCATCAAATGAATTGTTACACATTTTATAAAGATTTACCAGACTTATCGAACGACCCTCGTATGTGAGTACAAGCACCGCCACCGTCGACGGGCGTTAAAGAAATTCATCGTGTGAACGGAAACTCACCAGACAGTAAGTTTCTCAGCAAGTCGTATATGAAGAAACTGCAACCGGCATATGGGATGGCACCGAGGATTGTAGCGGTGAAACCACGATAGGACGCCAATATTCCCTCTTCTTTATACATTCGCCAGAACGCCTGGCGTAGAGTCTTGTATTCGGCCTTTAGAGTTACCGCCATTCTTGCTCGCATCAAATCTAATGGATAAGTCATAGTCTGCGACGTTACACCCGCGAGTGCACCGGCCAGGAAACTCGCCCATGGCTTTTCTCTGTAAATATTCATAACACTAGAATAAAATTTGCATATAATAGCTTCATTTAAATCATTAGGCTTGCCGCTGGCTCAGTGCTTCCAAAAAAGTGAGAATAGTGAGTCTTGTATTCGAAATAGTGAGAGAAAAGTGAATTTTTTTAAACGCTGCAAGGTAGTTTGTTTTAGGTTTGATTAAAATTGTACAGAATGGTATCTAATAATTAGTACATTATTATTTTGAATATATTATCCTGTGACGGTGATATTTTCATTATTTAATATTCCATTAAATTTAAAAGCATTTTTGAATTTTAAAAACGGTATCGTTAAAAATACATGTTTCAACACATTCGGCAGAAAAGACGACAAAGTTCTAATAACAATAGTATCTAAATTCAAAAACTGAAACAACTTAGGAATGAAAGTATCTGGAAACAAAGTTATTATTGGAGAAAAAGCGTTCTGCGGTATTTTGCTAGCTCAAAATTATGTATACAATATCTTCATAGAAAACGAATAAAATTTAAATTAAAAAAAAAAATTATTTTGAAACTTGAAATCTCTACTTTTGAATGGTGACTATATTTTTTGAATTTATGTGAGTTTTATAATTTTTATATAAAAGAAAATTACAAGTTGACAAAAAGAAAAATTTTTCTTCTTACTTTGTGGGTTTGCCAAAAAAATTTGCGAAAATTTTCGACTATCTATATCGTTTGAAGTTTTCCTTACAAAATCGTTTCTAAAAAATACTTTTATGATTTTTTCAGTTATTCGCGAGTTAAGTAAAAAAGAACATTCTTTAATTGCTCATAATTCCATTAAAAATTATCGTACTGAAATTAAAAAAACAGATTCTTAAAGCTGAAACATTGCTCTCATTGAGTGATATAATTGCCAATTAAAAAAAAATGAAATATATAAATTTGAGCTAATAAATATGGTTTACTGTTATATAACATTGCGCAATGGTCATAACAATAGTAATATCACATTTTTGTACTTAAATTCCTATATATTTTACATTTAAAAAAGAAGAACATAAAACCACAGCACAAGATATTGTTTGTAATATTTAATAAATCATTATATTAATAAAAAATTTTTTTAGATGTTTCGGCCACAATCTGGCCATCTTCAGTAAAATAACAAATACCAGTAAAACGCAGAATTTACATAAATTTGACATTAAATTCAGCTGTCAAAAATATAAATATGTATAAACGTATTCTTTCATCTTGTAAAAGTTATCGTCAATTATCATATTGCAAATTATGTAGAACAGAAATTTCCAGATTTTGTTTTACAGATAAAATAAATGAATCTTAAGCATTTTCCTCACGCAGATGGAAATTCGTCGTGACATGTATTATTATTTAATTTGTTCTTTCATAATTTGCAATATAATAATTGGCGCTGCAACCACGTTTTATGATGCCATCTTTACAAGATGAAAGAATACGTTTATACATATTTATATTTTGAATTTAATGTCAGATTTATGTAAATTCTGCGTTTTACCGATATTTGTTATTTTACTGAAGATGGCCAGAAACATCTAAAAAAATTTTTTATTAATGTAATGATTTATTAAATATCACAAACAATATCTTGCTGTGGTTTTATACTCTTCTTTTTGTAAGTTTTGATTTATAAACCACGTTTGTTATAATTATATATTTTACATTTAAAAAATTAGCATGATATTATTCGATAGAGTAAAGTTTCAGTTTTAAGAATCGGTTTTATTAATTACGGTACGATGATTTTTAACGGAGTTATGAGCAATCAAAAGAGATTAGATTAGAATGCTTTTTTATTTAATCTGTAACTTGGTAACAAAGTCATAGAAATATTTTTTAAAAACGAACTTTTAAAAAAAACTTTCACGTCAGGTAATCGAAAATTTCGCAACAAATATATTCTATATATAATTTAAGCTAATAAAATTCCACAGAACTTTTTCTTTGGCCCAATATTATTTAGTATAATATTGCAATAACTTTTACGCATTTGTACACGTAATATCACATTTTCTAATAAGTTTCTCATATTGATAAAGCTATTACCTTACATGTACTTATGGTAACATGGCAACACTTTTCATGACTAGCGTTCAATAAATTGATTTGATTTAAGTAGATTGGAATAATTGTAAATTATAATGAAAACCGTCCTTAAATAATCAATAATAAAATAAAAGAATTCTATCGCCATATATGGCAGAAGATTCAAATTATTCAAATCTACTCACAGAAAAAAGGAATGAAAACGCGCAAAAATTTTAAAAAATGTATGACTTATTAGACAGAAATTATAGCAAACACAGAAATAATACAATTTTGTCGGAAAAAAGTGAGAATAGTGAGTTTTTACTGAAAAAGTGAGCAAAAGTGAGCCTTCTTCAAAATAAGTAAAATGAGAATAGTGACTCTATTCTCATAGGCAAGTCTGAAATCATAATGATTATTTTGTTTGTTAAAGATGTTTTTGGGGCGCCGAGTGGCTCGTCGCTCAGTGCGATTGACTCGTGATCTGTGGATTTGAGTTCGATCTCACTTGTGCCCCGCATATGTGATTTTTTCGCGGTCACCGTTCGGATTCGGTGTTAAACTGTAAGACTCTTCGAGTGTTGACAAACAACTCAAAGGAGTAAGAATGTAAACTACTACTAAATGTAAAAACATAAGCGAGCCTCTGCTCCCCGAAGAGTCTAAAAATTGATATGCATGATACTGTGACCTCTTCAAATGGGGTTGAAAAATCAAACCCGGGGAATATACTAAGAGACTAAAAAAAGTTTTTGAATAATACCTTTCCATGCCGTTTATATTCAGAATTCTTTTCCACTGTTCGTGCGCTGTAAACTGCACCGCCGAATACGGTACTATTCTGACCATGGTAGCGCTGTTTCCACGCCACAAACTGAGAAGACCTTCAGTACGCATCGCTGTAGTTAGGAATCCTATCGCTGCCCTGGCCGAATAGGGTTGTTTCGAAATTTGGAAATTAATCTTCGTACGATCCAATGGTGCTATCGTAGTCTTTGCTAAAGCTCCTGCTATCGCACCGGATACCAGACTCGTCCAGACTCTTTGAGTATTGGAAATCTCCTTTCCGATGCATTTTTTTTGTTTGCTCTATAACGTATATATATATATGAAATTATTTTTATTATCGGATTAAAAGATGAATAACAAATATAATTATTAATTATAACTGTATTGTTAGCCCACAACTATTATAATGTTACATTAAAATATACATCTTTAATGTAAGTTTTTTTTTGTATTAATTATGGAAGAATTTAAACATTTATACAACTATGATACATCTCACTCTGTACACAGACATTTATTTATATTTTAACGAATATAAAGTTAAATGTATTTTCTTACTGTAATATTCACATCTTGCCTCTCCATTGATGGAGTCGATGTGGTAGGTAATGTCGAAGAGGTGTGTTTTCCAGCGATCGGCAATACGGACATCTGAATACGTTCGAGAACCGCTTGACCACCCTCTCCAGAACGGGTTGCATGCCCGCTCATCTCTGGCACACCGAATTCCGTTACCGATGGCTTCTCATACAGAGATCACAGTCTTCCTTTTCGTATCATTAATACCGATACAAGATGACACTGTAAATATATTTACTTTATGAAAATTAAGTAATATGAAATTAAGCAGAAAAAATAAATTTTGGAATCTTATAACTTGAACATTTAAATCGATACACTAGAAAAGCTTAAAAATTAAGAGAATTAAAGATAGAATAAAAATCTTTTCTATCTTTTTAAATTCCCTATAATTCCTTATGATTAAAAATAATCAAAATATTCTGACTCAAGAATTTTTTTAAAGAGAAAATTGCCAAAGGAGAAAGATTACGAGGCAAAGCTAATTGCTAATTAATCTATTTTTAATATCCAATCAATATAAACATTTAATATACAAACGTTTCAAATTCAATAAAGAAAATCGAATTTGAAGAAAGAATAGTAAACTAATAAAGAAGGAATGTCAGAAATGTACATACATCTCGCAAGAAGTAGATTAGGAACTTAAATTTAACTATCGTGTGTTTATAGTTAGGTAACATTGACGTCGATAAGATCAAAGTACAAACTATGTGACTTACACTCTACAAATATGGCAATCTCTAAAAGTTTATAATAAATTCTGAAGGAAATAATTCTCATATCGACGATAACATTCACTCTAAAATGTATTATATTTTATATTTTACGTTTAAAGTTGTGGAAAATTGACACAATTTGTACTAAAGAGCAAAGAACAATATTTTTCTTCAAACACTTCAACGTGATTGTTTGTTGAAATATTGTAAATGTAAAAATGGAGACTTAAATGATGAATAATAATTAGAACACGAAGAAAGCGGCATTTTTATGATGCTGATAAGAATTATCTTCCAATTATCCAAACTTTTACAGTTTTTGTAAGTCTTTCTCGTTATTAATTTCAAAAGTTTATTAAATGCGTAATGCAAAAAACCAGATGGACAATTCTTACAAACATTTCTGTATCGCGCGTAAACATCTTTGGTATGCTTATGACGCATGTACATGCAAATTAGATAATCGTTTTTTGCATCTATATATCGTTGATACAAAAATATCTTCAAGTATCATCTTTTATCAGTTGCTATGCCAATTAATTCTATGAGAGATTTCAGCGGAGCGAAATTATCGCTACTATTCTTTCAGAGAGATAAGAAGTTTTCTATAAAACTTGAAAAAAGGTAGAAAACTATCATTTTATTTGCAACACTGATACTTCATTTTTATCGAGATGTAAAGTTTAAATATGCAAAGCATAACAATAAATTAATAATTGCTAAACAATAAATTTTCATTAATAAAACATTGCAAAAACAGACATAATTTTTTGTATACGAATCGAAAAAACTTTCTAAATATTAAGAAATATTTAGAAACGTGTAATATTTCTGATCCGTTTTTTTAAACAAGAAGACATTGAGTACTAAACAATTACATAATCTTTTTAAGTTTTCCCAATTTGAGAGGAAGTTTCTAGAACTTTTTCGATTATATTTGAAATTTCTCTCTCTCTCTCTCTCTCTCTCTCTCTCTCTCTCTCTCTCTCTCTTTCATGCACGCGTCCTTGTCACGCGTCACAGCATGATAATTATTTTATTATCACGCATTGAGAAGACATATAGCAACATATATATACAGTGAGTACAAGAAATATTCGTACAGAGAAAATATTTTTTGAAAAAAATTTATTTAAAAAAATTAAATATTAGCCAGCGAGAAATGAGTCATCGAATTGATGTGATCGAATCGATATTGATATGATGATCTCAATACCAATTTGATGTCGATTCGACGTTTAATTGATGATCATTTCTTGTTGGATAATTAACAATTCATAAAGAATAAAATAGGCTATAAATTTCTTTAAAATTATTTTTCCAAAAAGATGTGTATTAATTATAGAAAATATATCATCTGAAAAATAAACGAAAATTAAAAATTCCATTGTTTGGATACTCACAAAGTATTCGTACAGTCGAGAAATTTAGCTTCTAATATCAGAAATACATGCGAAGCTCATTTGTTTATGTTAAAATAGAATGTATTCATAAAATTGCTAATTAATGTTTATTTTTTACAAATAAGACTTTTTTTTTCGTACTTGTGAATACTTTTTGCTCTCACTGTATATGACTGTATTTATGCATAGTCATGCGACAAGATAAACTACAAAGAATATTCATGTTCCAATTTGGAAACATACTGGTTATTTACCAAACAGGATCATAAATATCCTTTCGAAGAACACTCTAAATAAAAGCTTAAGAAATCTAACGCGAAGATTTGAGTAAATAATTTGCTTAAGCGAGCCAGGATGTTGGAGTATTTTTAGGATCCACTGGAATGATTTGCGAGATTGCATCCGGAACAAACTCAACGATTTCACGCTATTGCAGCGTGAAACGAGCATCTGAAATTTTAACAAATTGGGATCAAAGATAGGGCAAACAATTTTGGAAACAAAGGATTAAGTCCAAATATCTCCAAGTACGGTATTTATTTCCTTTTTCAAAATTAAATGAATTAATTAAATTAATTTTGAATAATTTCAATAATTTGTTAATAAAGGATTTTTACGATAAAAAAATGTTCTAAGAAAATGCACTGTACATACTTTCGCTGCATATGCAATTCACAATTAGAATTTCAGGTATACGTTATACTTTCTGCTTACAAATGACGCATATTAGAAGAAAATCAAATCTAATTCTTAGAATGATCGTAATTCACTATAAAACGCTGTAAAATGTGGCGCTGTGAGGATATTACGTAACTCGCTTGTTATTGGTGTACTTAAAAACCTGTTTGCAAACGAAGATATGAAAAAGACGTGAAAAACATTGAGTTAATCATTGCTCGAGGACATAGGAAATGAATAGCGATACGTAAAACGCGTGCGAGATTATGTATCATAGTATATAAATGTTATCATAACTCACATCGATAATGATAAATAGTTAACATTTCGATCTGTGCGTGATTAATAGATACCAAGTTATTTGTGATCAAAAGATTATTATTAATGAGAAATTTAATTTTAATTATTTTGTATCGTTAAGAAGATTATGTAATACCTTTCGTTAACACATATAAAATTTTATTACTAAAAAATTAAAATTAGACTAATAATCGTTTATAAACATTTCTATTGATCATTTTGTATAATTATACGGATGATATAATATCTTTCATTAATATACCATTTTTAAATAATATTAATTAATATTACATAAAAATTACTGTAAAACTTTACTACTAATAAATTAAAATAAAACTAATAATTATCAGTAATTTCGACTAATTTTGTTATCAAATTTGGAGCTTCATTATCCAATTTTCAATGTTTCATTAAAGAAATATCTGGCAGATCAAAATGCTAAAAATAACTCTACATTGAATCAAAGTCAATATCATGTTGTGTTAGAAATCATCTTAGATAAATCAATATAATTTTACGAATAATATATTGATATATTATATCAATTAAATAACAACACTTATTAAACCTAGAATAATAGATAATGAACGATGTGAAAATGTTTAACAAACGTGTTTAACAAAACTTTTGGACTTTGTGTTGTTCGACAGAGCAATCGGTCAAGATGTCGATGTTAAGGGCAAATTACACCGCTAAAACATATAAATGACTTTTGATAAAATTTCTATTTATGATAATTCCAACAGAGGTGATAAGTCACCGTGCAAAGTGCGCTAAAACGGTGAACAAGTAAAACGTAGAACAAGTGTATACGTAATATAATACGGCGAACATGCCGGATGTGTACTTGATTAACTCGAGCTGCGATCGTCGATTCGAATCTATCGCAGACAGGTTGATTTTGTGTCTACACACAAAGCGGTCGAAACATTTAGTGTCCTCTTTCATTTCGTTTCAAAAAAGCTGGAGTAATCCGATGATTAGAATGATCTCAGGTCGAAGCGAAAACGAGAAAAATAAAGAGGAAGAAAAACAGAAAGTCAAATACAATCCGTGGGCTTATCGATTAATATTTTCTGCGACGTTACAAATAAACGAACTAACCTCACTGCCTGCGTACCGGATGATAGTATTTCGGATCGAATTTCCTTGACACGTATTCACTAATATCCTCTCCTCCGTCGACCATCCGCGAGTTCCGCGACGGTTTTGTACGGTTACAGAATACAGACTGCTTCCACTGGCTCCACTACCAACAATGCTGACTGTCAGTGCAGATACGCTGCACAGTGCGCAGTGAGCAGTGCGCAATGCGCGGACGTCAGAGACTGCGTTCTGCGCCCTCTAGCGGCCGATTTTGCGTCATGGAGCTTTTGATATATAGATGTGATACAACTTGTGTTTGCCATCCAACGCCACCTCAGCTCTAACAGCACAAACGTCGATATGTCGACAGTAAATCGACTTTTTATAGACTTCCAATATCGACTTTAGGACATCTGCGATTTATACTCACAAAGTTTAAATGTGGAATTTCGTCCTTGTTGTTTAACTATATAGTTGAACAAGGATGAATGCTATTCATTAGGGTTGTAGGCATGAATCGGACCACAGTCTAGAATAGTTGACTTAAAGTTGGTTTACAATTGTCTTTGTGGAACATTGTATGACAGAGAACAGAGAAGCCTTAAGGAAGTCTTAAGTACAAAATCTGACTATGAATATGAGCATAAGAATTTCAACCTATCAGAAACTGTGTATTCTACAATATATGATTTCTGATAGGTTGAAATTCTTATTCTCTGTTCTCTGTTCCTTGTTCCTTTTATTGTGCGGAGCCCCTTAATAGAAATCAGTTCACTAGCATTCCGTTCCATAAGAAGTTTCTCTACTGTATCGGAAATATTAATGTACCACGAAAAATTTAAAGTGAAAAATTTCTCCATTAATTTCAATGGTAAAAATTTTCACTTTCCATCCTAGGAATAAAGTTTCATGACTGATAGGCTTCCGATGTGACATCTCTTTTTTTGTGACACTTGATTGGCTGATTATTCTGCACATATGTTTTCGACTTTAAATTCCCTAGCATTTGACCATGTTTTTAATCATGTTCCATTGCTTTTCGATGGAATGGATGGACTTTCCGATCTTATAATCAAGATAATTCATGATCATTCATGGTATTTATGGTGCATTACGGGTTACTGAATGTGTGTAAAAGGAGTTAATTGCCGGAGAGTGTAATTTTAATGTGTTTAGTAAAAAGTAAGGAATAATAAAGATCCATACGTATCGACGTATATATACGCGCGTCTGCTCGACACGTTTACAGGTATGAAAACAAGTTTCAACTTCATATTTCGTCTATCGTCACATCACGTTTACAGTAGTAGATTAGTTTGTAGAAGCGAAATAAACAGAAGGTTTGTTTGCGTCGTATAAATATGTTTGAAATTTTAAAAAGTAAGAAAATTCTAGTGCAGAAATGAAAGACAAACCTTAAGATTGTAAGTTTAGGATAATGGACTTTCTACAATAAGTCAAATAGCTTATTGTAGAAAGCCCATAACAAATAATATTCATAATAGATTATTAAGGGACAGAGTTATGTCTGCAGCTTGAATATCTAGAAGTTGGTTTGCTCCAATTTCTCTTGTCCTGTTGGAATAACTAGAAGCATGGTAAATTTAACATAATTCCTGAGAAGAAAAAAAGTAAAGCGAGCTGTTGATTGATCAGCTAATGATTTGACACTATGATCCTCTTGGCGTTAGAAAGGATAATCTAAAAAGGGTTTTTAGAAGAAGAAGAAGAAGAAGAAGAAGAAGCATGGTAGAAGCATGTTGGAGTACGCCACGCAAATAAATTTCTAGTTGATTACTGATTATGAATATTATGTGTTATTGTGAGCTCACAACAACAGGATTGCTACAGACCTGGAAAACTGGAGAAAGTCAGGGGAAAATGTAAAAAAGTCTGGAATTTTGAAATTTGCTCTCAACTTCCTTAAACTACTCTTATTCCAAATAATTGTTATAATTTTTTAAATATTATATCTGACGTTTATAGTTCAAAATTTGCGCTGAGTTCAAAACTTAGTTCGAAACTTTAAATGATTTTTACAAATTTATATTTTATTTAGTATTTTTATTTGATCCTTCTTTTTCGTTGTAACTGCATTCTTTTTTTCAAAACTAATTTATTTTTTGCTGGCTTGAATTTGCATTCAAAATTTTACTATGCTACTAAGCTTTTTTTGCATTTTTAATAATATAGTTTTCCTACAATTCTTGAATCTAAATGTTTGAATTTACATATTTTATATTAGTCATAGAAAATTTTTTTATTTTCGTCTGGAAAATCTGGAAAAGTCAGGGAATTTTTAAATTTATTTTCTATGGCAATCCTGTCACAATCTTAAGGTTTGTTTTTCATTACTGCACTAGACTTGCTGCAGAATTTTCTCATTTATTCAAACATATTTATTTTAAACAATGAAATATTGAACAAAGTCAATGATCGAGAGAAAGATAGTTGACAAAATTAAATTAATATTCAGTCGAACATACAAATTATTCAATATAAATATATTTATATATATATTTTTCTTTTATATTTAATTTGTATATTTGATTGAATATTAATTTAATTTTATCAACTATCTTTGGCTCGATTATTGACTTTGTTCAATATTTCATCGCTTTTACATTAACATGAGTATCTTTATACTAATGTTTATTTTACTTTAAGTAAAAAATAGTTGAGTTATAAGAAAGACCTTTCATTTCAGTCGTTTAGCATGGATGCCAAAACTCTTCCGAGTCTCTTGAGCTTGAAAGTGGCTCCTCCCTCGGAGTTGTCAAATCAGAATATTGACAATGGTGTTGGGGATGGAGATAGCGGCTCTGTCAAACTACCAGCTGCTTTGGAGCAAGCTCTAGCATTTAAAACAGAGAGAGCCAAAGAAGTAGGTGGAGACCTTTACGACCTTGTTGCTGTAAGTAAATCACCAAATGACGATCGCGAGGATGTTTTGAGAAATGTGAGCATAGAAGACGTTATGACGGAACTGGAACCAATGACTGAGAAAGTAGAATCCAAATCAAGCAAGACGAAAAAGAAGAAAAAGTCAAAGAGGAAAAGGCACAATGCGGAGAAGAAGGACTCTGAACAGAAGAAGGATGGCATCGAAGAAGCAAAAAATAAAGAAATAAATAAAGAAGATATGCCAGAGATAGAGTATATACAGGAGATACCAAGTATAAATGACTTGGAACCTATGTACCGTCAGTTTGCTAGAGTCTTTGAGGCGTTTAAGCTGGTGGAGCCAGAACCGAGTCCAAACGATGCATCTGATAAGGGTGAACCCATCGGGCAGTATCCACCAGTAACAAATATACAAAGCTCTGGCACTGGCATACCAAGTAAGGTACCATTGTTGGATGACTTCGATGACGAGGGGAATCAGCAACAGCAGCAACAGGGCACAGGAGAGAATGGTGCGCCGCGTCTGTCCAAGCGCAAGCTCAAAAGGCTGACGCGACTAAGCGTGGCGGAATTGAAGCAACTGGTTGGTCGTCCCGATGTCGTGGAGATGCACGACGTTACTGCACGAGATCCAAAGTTACTCGTGCAGCTGAAGGCCCATCGAAATACTGTTCCAGTGCCGAGGCATTGGTGCTTCAAGCGCAAGTATCTCCAGGGCAAACGAGGAATAGAGAAACCGCCATTCGATTTGCCAGACTTTATAAAGCGCACCGGGATCACGGAGATGAGGGCAAGCTTACAAGAACGCGATGACACACGTACATTAAAGGCAAAGATGCGAGAGCGAGCGCGACCCAAACTGGGCAAGATTGATATTGATTACCAGAAGCTACATGATGCGTTCTTCAAGTGGCAGACTAAACCACGTATGACGATCCACGGCGATCTCTATTACGAGGGCAAGGAATTCGAGACACGCTTGAAAGAGAAGAAACCTGGAGAATTGTCGGATGAGCTGCGTACAGCTTTAGGCATGCCAGTGGGACCGAATTGTCAGAAAGTACCGCCGCCATGGCTCATAGCTATGCAACGTTACGGGCCACCACCGAGCTATCCGAATCTCAAAATACCCGGCTTGAACGCACCTATTCCAGAAGGTTGCGCGTTCGGCTATCACGCGGGTGGATGGGGAAAACCGCCAGTAGACGAAACGGGAAGGCCACTGTACGGAGACGTATTCGGTATATCTCGCACATCTGGCGCGGATGCGATGGATGAGGAAATAGATCGGGGAATGTGGGGTGAACCTGAGTCGGAATCATCAGGCGACGAGGACGAGGATGAGGATGCCGAGGAGGGTGGCGAAGGTGGTGACGGCGAAGGAAAGGATGGAGATGGAGATGCCAGCGGACTGGTTACTCCCGGTGCCGAAGGCCTGATCACCCCAAGCGGCATCACGTCGATCCCGGCAGGCTTAGAGACTCCAGAGACCATCGAGCTGAGGAAGAAGAAGATCGAGAGCGAGATGGAAGGCGGTGACACACCCGCGCTCTATACAGTGCTACAAGAGCGACGTACAGAGGGTCTGGGCGCTAGTATGATGGGTAGTACTCACGTATACGATATGACGGGTGCGGCAGGTGGCCAGGCACCGCCGTCCGTGATCGCTGCACGTCGCGGTGCCATCAGCGGCAGCGCAAGTGACGCCCGAGCGGAGAAGGACGGCGCAGTGGAATTGACGTTGGATCCTAGCGAATTGGATCTTGACTCCGAGGCAATGGCATCCCGATATGAGGAGACAATGAGATCGAGACAAGCACATCTCAGGAGAGAAGACTTGTCAGACATGCTGCAAGATCATGTACAACGACAGAAGGTATTATATATATATAGCATATTATTATATATATATGCATGTAAATAATATATATGATATGCATGTAAATATATAGATTTGATTCTTAAATAAAATAAAATTATTATGTCAATTTTGAGTTATATTGATTCTTTTCTGTTGCAGAGCAAACGCAAACGCCAACAAATCCAGGATACAAAGACATCTAAGAAATATAAAGAATTCAAATTTTAAGTGTATTATTTCTCTAATTATATGTACTGTATTATAGAAATTAAATTGATTGAGATTGCATTTAAAAAAAAATTAGATTTAATATATCACTTTAACATTGACGTGATTACATTTTTCAAAAAAACTTTTTTTATATCTTATATTTACACGTCACATGAGTGATCAGTAGAAAGGTCGTATTAACTGTGTGTAATGTTAGTGAAAACGGTAATTAATGGT